TATAGGACTAGTTTGCGATAGGCTCCACTTACGGAACTAAAATGATAAAAAAGTCCAGTTACTGAATTAAAAAAACAGTTTACCCTAATAATAATAATAATAATAATAATAATAATAATAATAATATGCAAAAATTATAAAAATCAATAAAAGAAAAAATTGAATAAAAATGATTAAGGATAAAGGAGTAAGGCAGCATGGGAATGAGGAAGCATAAAGCTCACCAAATCCACACTCCAATTTTTAACATTCTTTGACTTCAACCAAACCCTACTTTTGGTTTTACTCATAATATATGTTTGCCCACTCAATCATGCGATTCTTAAGAAATAGTAGTCATTTACTGTTCCCATATTGCCGGTTCTGTCCGTCCCACGTTTCATATCACTTTCTTTTTTAAAAAAATAATTACTCATCTTAATTTTATTTTAAATTTTCTAATTTAAAATTTTTTAATTTTAATTAAACTAATTAGTTATCTTAATCTTAATCTTAAATCTATAATGATTTATATTATAAGTTAATTATTTCACTAATACATTATTAATTATCTACTAATTATATTTATTCTAAATTCTCGTGTCTACAGTGACCAAGATACCCAATATGGGACGGAGATAATATTTTTTTAAAATATAATATCAATATATATTTTTTATTTATTAAAATAAAATACCGAATATTATTTTAAGGATAAACTGTTTTTTAGTCTCGTTACTGGATCCCCTTAACAACTTATTTGGTTGGAGTTTGGATTTTGAGTTTAAGTATTGATTGTAAAAATTTTCATTTTGAATAATTATTAGATGTTATATGAATATGTATTAATATGATATTTTGATATAAAAATAATTTTAAATATAATATAAAAAATAAAAATGCAAGTTTGATTTGATATTTTTAGGATAAAATTTTGTGTATAAACTCTAACGAATTATGAGTCATGGCTTCCAGTTGTAAATAAAGCTTGTGTTTGGTTGAGTGTCTAAAATTTGAATATTAATTTTTTTTTTAATTTTACTAATTATTTGATATTATAAATTATGTATTGATGTGATATTTTTAATGTGAAATTATTTTTTTAATATAATATAAAAAATGGGACTTTTAGTTGATATTTTTAAAAAGAAAAATAAAATTTATGAATAGTAAAAATTTTGGGTAAATCCTTTCAAACACAATTTTTTCTAATTTATATTTTTTTCTAATTTATATTTGCAATAAATAATTTGTTATAAGTAATTTAAATTATTTTTAAAATAATATAGTATTATTACAAATAATGACATAAATTATTTGTCTTAATACAAAAATTATTTATGCCAAAATTATTTAATATCTATTTTATTCATAAATATTAAATAAATTAATATATTTTATTCTATTGTACAATTCTAATATCAACTACACTAAACACAATTAATTTTCTAATAACACTTTCTTAAAATCCATGTCCAAAATAAAGTGGCATAATGTCATGGCACGGATGGAGTATAATATATACTTATATTAACGTAATATATACTTTATTTATTTACAAAAAATCAATGATTTAATACAAAATATTAATTTTTGTACTATCGATACGATTCTCCATATTTAACATAAAAAAATCATCTAAAATACTTTAAGTTTGTTTGAGTGTGATTTGAAATTAATTTGAAATAAAATATTAATTTAAATTTTTATTTAAATAATATTTTAATGTAATATTTTACGAGAAGAAAGTGTATTTTTATTAGAAACCATATTAAATAAATAATGTTAATTTATATTTAAATAGTAAAATAACACAAGATAAATGAACAAATCGTATACATTTTCTTAAGACTTTGATTTCATTTTTTTTTTCCTATTCGATTATAGTAAATTTTATAAAAACATATAGGGTGCGTTTGTTTGTGGGTATTAGAGTTTGAGTTTGGATTTTTGAATAGTAAAAAGTTGAATTTGAATAGTTGTTTCATACGATATAAATAGAGGTTGGTGTAATATTTTGAATGTAAAATAAATTTGTAATATAATATAAAAAATAATAATAATAATAATTGTTTGATATGATATTTTTTTTAAAAAAATAAAAATTTGCATAATAAAAGTCTGTCGTAAAACCCACAGCAACACAACCATAAATTTTTTACAAGACACTACATTCAAATAAGATTATAACTAAATCAAATGATTTTGTTTGATTAAATTTTTTGATAATCATATTCAAAATTTTATAATTTGAATTCGAACACAAAAATTCAATTCGATTTCAATATGAATTTGATGGACACCTAAAAAATGAAAATATGACTAATTTCACCAATGAAGATTATACATATATATATATATTCAGATTAAATAGTTTAAACCAAAGTTATTTATAATATTAATTTTTAAAATTTATATAAATAAACAGAACATAATTAAAACTACAATTATACTATGATATTCTTGTTATTAGAAGAAAAAAATAGTTTTGTGTCAATTTGCAAAATTGATACATAGTATATATATATATATATTAATCAAATTGTCTTGATATTATTTTTAAAATTTTAATTAAAAAATTTTGAATCAAATATTTTAATGACATTGTTATAATTGTATTTTAAATATTCAAAAAAAAATATTCACCCTAATAGAGTCATAAAATATAAATTTTTAGTAACATTAACTGAAAAGTGTAATAAAAAAATTGTTCCCTTCTTCCTCCGGACTTAAGGTCATTTTTTTTTTTTTACAAAGGTCATTTTTTTTTACAAAGAGAGTTTGAAAGATAGAGAGAGTATTAATTTGCGGATGGAGAAAATATTGAATAAACACACTTTTTTTAATTTCATTATTTAACTAATAAAAATAATTAGAAGTAATACTTTAATATAAATATTATATCCCCTCAATTTAGAACCAATTTATTCATTTTATTATTTGAAATGGTTCGAAATCAATATATATATATATTGTTTTTTTTATAATTGTAATTTTCATATAATTTAAAAAACTCTTATGTTTTATATATAATTACAATAATATCTGTCAACTTGTGCATATACTAAAATTTTTTAGTCTAATTATTCAATCATCGAACTATTAGGTACATATAATATATTAATATTCAAAATTTATGTATAAAAAATAAACAGATACAGATCAATTCACCCACCAAATAAAATTAAAATAATATTAATTATTACTAAATTACAAATGTATCCCTAAGTATTAGTTTTATTTTTATTTCATGAATCAGTGACTATGTTTTGTATTCAACAAGACCTATCAAAAGAATTATTGATGTCTTATTTTTTTCCCTCGAATCGTCTTTCCTCTTTTAATAAAAAGATATTGTAACTACTGGTATAATTATATTCTACATAATTGTCAAAAGCAAAATTGATGATTTTCGAATTATTATTAGGTAATTTCATTACTGATATTCAATATGATGAAATATCTTGAGATTTGAAGAATTTAAATGAATTTTCTATAAAACTTGTTGAGACAAAGAAAAATAGCAACTGCAAACGTGGAAAGATCATTTTCAATTATAACTATTATCAAGAAAAAATGACGAAATAGCATGGAAAAGTAATTATTAAATGATTGTTTCGTTACTTTCCTAGAAAGAGATGTGTTTACGAAAGTTAGTATAAATGCTATTATCAGCCGATACCAAAATATAAGATCTCATCGTAAACACTTGTAACTATTTTGATATATAAATGATTGTTAATTTGAAGTTTCGTATTTTTCTAATGTAATTTTTATTTATTTATTTAAATTTTATTTTAATTATATTAATTTATCGACCCACCAAATTCAAAACCTTAGATCCGCCGCTGGATACATAGATGCATATGGGAGAATGGAATACTCCCCTCAGGCCCTTAACCCTTTAACAAAATATTTTTTTTAGTAATTATAATATTTATCTAATATTAAAAATATTCTTACTATTTATTATATATTACAATATTAACACAAATATTTTTGTGCTTTTTTGTCTTTAATTTATAATATATATATATTAATACTCCCCCCGTTCCACTGGAAGGATGATATTTGCTTTTTGTACGTAGATTTTTTAATATTAGTATTATATTGAATTGTAGTAAAAAAACAGGAATACCCCTATTAGTACGGTATAATGTAAAAGTAATGACATTTGTGTAATATATTATAAGTTGAAAGAATATTTATTATGTTAGATAGGTAGTACAATTACTAAATTAAAAAATAATAACCTTATTTTGGAACAGACAAAAATAAAAAACGGTAACCTTTCAATATATAATACTCCCTTATTCCAATCAATCCAAAGTTTTCTCTTTTTTTTTTTCTTTTTTTTTTTTTAAATTTTGCAATAGATTAAAAAATAATTTTTTCGTCCCACTTTGATTTATACCAGAAAAATTTTAGTGAATACCATTAAGTAAAATAAATTAAAAATAAAATGGTGTGATGAGAAAAAATATATATATTTATTTTTTTATTTATTTTTTTATTTGAGTGATACGATGAGATAATATATAATAAATTATTTCATATTTTAAAAATACTGCATAATAACAACTCAAAATAAAAAATATTGCATATATATGAAATAAAAAGAATAATAATATTTTATTAATTAATATAATACTACCTCCGTCCTATTGAAATACTATAATTTTCTATTTTCTTCCATTCCAAAACAAAGTTACCATTTCCTAATTGAATAATCGTACTACCTATCTAATATAATAAATACCCTTTCAACTTACAATATATTATATAAATATCATTACTTTTATATTACATCATACTTGTACGGATATTTTTGTCTTTTTTTTTATAATATAATATAATTTTAATATTTAAAAATCTACGTGCAATAGAATTATTTTTATTATAATAAAAACTAAATAGACAAAAATAAATAAATAAAATACTTGACGAAAAAAATACTAGTAGTAAAAAATTTACAAATGGTCGTATAAATTAAATCAAATTAATTATTTAATTAACCTGAAATAGACCGAAGGAATATGTTTTTGGTTGAGGTTCTTCCTCTGATTCTCCACTAACAGCAACAGCGTGCTCTCTTTCGTCAATCAATCCGTCCAATCAATCAATCTTCGAACAAATTCTTCCAATTTCCAGCACTGAATAAATCCGCGCACTGTCCAGAACCTCAATTCCGCACCAGACCTCAGCCAGTATTTGTTCAATTTCAGCTATGGCTCCCAAGGATCTGTTGATTTTTCTTGCCCTAGGTGTCGCGGCATCGTCGCTGCTGGTGAGGGAGGCTTGCGGGAATTCGGAAGGCGACGCGCTGTACGCTCTTCGCCGGAGCTTGTCGGACCCTGACAAAGTGCTGGAGAGCTGGGATCCCAATCTGGTGAACCCCTGCACCTGGTTCCATCTCACCTGCAACAAAGACAACCGCGTTACTAGGGTGTACGTATTTCGTTATACTACTATTGTTATTATTGCTGCAATTATTCGTGTCTTCTATGTTTCTGTAATTGAATATTTTGTTCTCGCTTGGCCTCGTTTTGTTTGGATTATTATGGCGGTGGAATTAACAGGCCGTGTGAGTACTGCCAACATTTAGGGTTATGTATGATTTTAGTTTCAAGAATTAGGTCTAGATGGATTCTGCTACTTCTTTGTTCCAGTTTGTTTAAGAATTACTAATAATTTACTCTGGCATTGCGTTGGGTAGTAAATGGCTGTATCTGAGCTGGTTTGCCCTTTAAACTAGTTAATTTAGTCTCTAGAGTTTAGACTGTGTTTGGACTTAAAGCATTTACGAAAATTAGGTTTAATTGAAGTTGGGAGGTAATGTTTCAAATGAGGAATAGGTTCGATACAATAATTTGAATTCAAATAGTTGTTTGATTTATCTTTTTTAATGGGGAGCAAAGATGTTAAGTATTCTACTATAAATTGTACTGTAAATTACTGAAGTTGGGATGTAATGTTTCGAATGGGAAATAGGTTCGATATTTTGAATTCAAATAGTTATTTGATTGATCATTTTTAGTGGGGAGCGGAGGTGTTAACTAGTTTAATTGTACTGAAATTGGACTAAAGCATTTAAGAAATAAGGTTTAACTGAAGCTAATGTTTCAAATGGAAAATAGGTGCATTTGATACAATATTTGAATTTAAATTAGTTGTTTGATTTATGTTTTTAAGGGGTAGCAGGGGTGTAAATTGGACTAAAGATTTTGCGTAATTAGGTTTAATTGAAGTTGTGATTTAATGTTTCGAATGAGAAATAGGTGTGTTCGATGTGATATTTTGAATTAAAGATAGTTGTTTGATTTACATTTTTTTTGGGCATGTGAAAGCGAGATAATTTTGGTTACTGAAATTTCAAGTCCGGAACTATCTGAATAAGTGCTGTGGATTAGTAATTATTGAATATCGTTGTCGTGGCATCCATTAATTGTTTTTTGTCTTTTTTGGTTTATCTTATATGTTTTCTAGTGATCAAGAATTGCTATTTTGTTCACTTGTGTAGGGATCTTGGGAACTCGAACTTGTCTGGCCATCTTGTGCCGGATCTTGGGAAGCTCGAACATCTGCAGTATTTGTGAGTATCGTACAGCACTTCCACTATATTGGCAGATGCATTAAATTGATCGGAAGTCTTTATTTGGTTAGAATAATTAAAGATTTTTCTGGTGAATTTCGTCGTCAGTAACACTTCATCATTTCCATTTCAGATGTTCAAGAGCATAACAAACCTTACTTGTCTATCTTGCAGGGAACTTTATAGAAACAACATTCAAGGAACAATTCCTGCCGAGCTCGGTAACTTGAAGAACTTAATAAGTTTGGATCTTTACAACAACAATCTAACCGGAAAAATACCACCATCGCTGGGAAATTTGAAATCTCTCGTCTTTTTGTGAGTTTATCCTTATCATTCGCATAATTTAGTTTATTTGTTCTTAATTAGGTGATTTCTTTATTTTTGTAACATAACATTCCTTATCAAGATTACTCGTCTTACATTAAATACACGTGCGCCGTAGGCATTAAGTAGATGTGATTACTTTACCAGTTTGCAGCAACTCTACAATAATTTATGTTTTTTGCAGACGTGTTAATGATAATCACCTGACTGGACCAATACCAAGGACCCTTACAGAAACATCGAGCCTCAAAGTTCTGTAAGTGCTTCTTAATCGACTGTTGTTTATATCCGTGTTCATTGCAAATTGTGGTGCTGCTAATTTTTGTTTTTGTTTATGTAGCGATGTCTCTAATAACAATTTATGCGGCACAATTCCTACAAGCGGTCCGTTCGAGCACATTCCTCTAAACAAGTGAGATATTATCCTTGAAAGTTTGATTTATTCCTACTTCTAAATAGATTCGATTCACTTTTATTCACTGTTATAAGTGAGCCGAATAACTCTTTCTACATTTGTTTTCTACTCTATTTTCTCGGAATTCATCAAAATTTCGGTCTTTAAAAAACATACCTACAATAGCTATTTTTTCATTTAAAACTATTACGCTAAAAATTATTTTTGGTCAAAACATCACATCAAACGTTTATTTATATCACATTAAAAACTTAGGGCGTGTTTGGTTTGTGCTTGTATGTATGTTTATCTAAAATAGTAGTTTGATGTGATTTTATACTTCATATTTTCAAAATCAATTTATCTATTTATTTTTTGTACGTAAATTTTGACATATTATTTAATATGTACATGGTACAATATATGGGTGAATCGACAATTCTATCCTTGAATAAGATAAATAAGTTGATGGTATTGTTATAATAATAAGTGAAACGTAAGGGTTTTTTTTTTTTTTTTTTGTGAGACTATAATTAGTAAAAAAGAATTGAATAGATTGATTTCACATAAATCAAAATAACAAAATAGATAGATTGATTTCGGATATTTTTATAGGAAATCGTATGTATTGCATAGTATAGAAACCAATGAAAATCTCAAAGAGAACATAGCCTAATCTTTTCTTTTTTTTTTGTACCCTAAACAACACCGCAAACACTTTGAAAAGTGACTTTTTTTCTTCTGCTCAAAAATTTCCATGTCCGATTTCTTGTAATTCTCCACGACTTATATTTCCATGTGCAGCTTTGAGAATAACCCTCGACTGGAAGGCCCGGAGCTGCAGGGACTCGTAAGTTATGACACAAATTGTTCATAAAGACATCGCATCGATAGACTACTATGCATGTAATGATCTTATTATTTCCAGTAGTGTACTTACTTTTCCGATTATGAATGTTGATGGTGTTGTGTGTGTGTTTTCCCGGTAAGATGCCCCGCCCCACCCCGCCCGGCCCCGGCACTGTAAACTCGCCGTGGTTTCCGGTGTAGGTGACGACGAAATTGCCATCGAATAACTATTACTAGCTTGGTTGTAAAAGTTATGGATGATGTCTCTTGCTGCTTAATGTGCAACTACATGTTTCTGTATGTGTATCCTTTCTTTACTTCTCTTGATTCAAAAGGAAAATGTGAATAATGTGAGGGTTTGGTGTAGAATTAGGGTTTGTTTGGATTTGATTTGAAATTGGGGTGGTGATTTGAATTTTGATCTGAATAGTATTTTTACCTAATGTTGTGTGAGAATATTTCTAAATTAAAAAATACTTACTACTACCTACTACCAGCTGCAAGAGTTCATTTATTTTTGTGTCTTGAATATTAATAATGATATGAAAATATAGTACATCTCTCCGTCCTAAACATCTTGCAATATTTTATTTCTTTTTTTGGTATGTCCCAAAACACCTGCAATATTTTTAAAATAGAAAATAATTTACTATATTTAATCACTACCTCACCCTTTATTCCCTCGAATCATTTAAATAAAAAAATAAAATATATATTTCTCTTTCTATTACATCACCTAATTTCTAAATTATTCTACTTAATACTATCTACTTAAAAATTCATGCCATAAACAAATGTTGTACCTTGTTTGGGACGGAACGGAGGGGGTACAAATTAAGGGAAAATGACAAAAATATTTCTATTAGTACCTTGTAATATTATTGTAATGATATTTATGTAAAAAATTATATAAATATAATGATATTTTTAATGTTAATAGGCTGACGCAAAAGAGAAATGAAACGAAATGAATATGTTTTATTCTATCACACTATTCAAATAAAAATATGCTATATGTTTTTCTTTCTCTCATCCCATTATATAATTTTTACTTTATTCTATCCACTTAAATTTTTGTGTTTAAATTAAAATATTGCTTTTTATTTAGGACAGAAAGAAAGAAGTATATTTTTATTAAAAATGATATTGAATGTATCATGTACTTTTTTATTTGAAATAAAAAATAAAATGAACACACAAAAAGACAATATATAAAATTATAGGCTTTGGGTAGAAATTTTGAAGTTCTGAAAAATTGTTATTAATGAAAAATAAGATATTTGATGTCATATTATGTAAAAAAAAAATTATTTGATAAGATATTTTCAAAAATTAAATAAATTATATTAATAAATAGTGATAAAATTTTTAAAAGTATGTATGTGTGGCTCTTTTTAAAATTTGATACTATTGTACAACTAGTGTTTTTATGTGTATAATACTTATTCCGTCTTAATACAATAGTCCTGTTTACCATTTTTGTCCCTTTTAAAATAATAGTCTTATATCCATAAATAACCATATTACCATAAAACTATTCCTATTTTTTCATTTTTATTACATAATTGCCACTACTTTTTACACTAATACACTAACAAAGGCAAAAAAAAGTCTTTATCCATATTTTTTACCCATTGCCAATATAATATTAATATTCCTTAAATTCTCGTGTCCAATCCAATTAAGACTATATTTATTACAGAGGAAGTACTTATTTTGTCCACTTTTAATATATCTATTTTGATAGTCTGTTTACTTTTAATGGATCTATTTATATTTTTTTAGTAATTATACTTCTCAATTAAACAATAAAAAAAAACTCCCATATTTAATATGACATTACAAAAAATACTATTAAAAATAAAAATGGCTTTAAGGGTAAAAAAAAAAAATATATTTTTTATCTTTCTATAAAGTAAATTATTTGTTTATTTATTTTATTCAAATAAAATTATTTAAAATATTTTACTTTATTTATTTGTATAATACTTTCATAATTAAATGCATATTTACAATAAAATATTAGACGAAAAAGATATTTTGTACATATTTAAATTTAACATAAAACATTTCGTACAATAAATAAAATACTCTCTTCGTCCGGTGTTTAAGAAATAATAGTGTAATGATATTTTTGCTTTTATTTTTTTGATATAAAAATAATGATTTGATGTAAAATAAATATATTTAATGAAATATTTACTTTATAATTGGACGTCCTAAAATAAAAATATGTCTACTTTCTAGCTTCTAGCTGAACTGTGGGAATACAACATATATTACATATTTTTACTAAAAACACAAGTATATTATGCAATCTACTCGATTTATAAATACTTAAAAAAAAAAAAAAAAGTATTTATAAAAAAAACAAAGAAAAAAAAAAAGCAAATAGCAATTGTCTCAACACAATAGCCAAAGTAGAGCATACAAAAACAACAAAACTCAGAGTAGACACAAAATTTGCCAAACCTCTAGAAAGAAAAATGGAAAACTCACTCTTGAAGAAACCAACCATATGCTCAAAAAATACACAAAACACGGTCACAGCTTCAAAACCCCGACGACTCAGATCCATCTGTCACACATGGTTCGCCTAGTGTGACTTTTTTGTCGCACTTGGTTTGCAGGGTATTAGGTTCGGCCGGAAGTTTACCCGGTGCGCACCGGGTAGCTGCTGCGGGTTCCCACGTCATCAAAAAAAATAATAATAATAAAATACACAAAACACACACAAAAATCTCAATTACCATTCAAGAAGACAATCTTTCAACTTTCATGACCTTTTCTTGGATTACTATTCTTCATCTGAATCAGAACTCGAACTCGAACTTGAACTTGAACTCGAGCTTTTAGAGATTTTACCTTCTCCTTCAATAGGCTTCGACGAATCGAAATCGCTACATGGCTCGACTTCACAGCCCGACTCTCCACTCGTAACATAGCTCGTCACTCTTACGATCGAAATCGCCATTGAAGAACCTACATCGAGCTCCACCGGCAATCCATCATTCGACGTTAACCAATCCTCCGAGTTGGTCAGAGGTTCGTCTTCAACTCCAATGCTCGGTTTTCCACTCGTAACATCCACCAATAAGACATCATCGTATCCATCTTCCGTGTCGACCATCTGCGACGTATGATCAACTAAAACCGGAAGCTCGACATTCTTGTCGTTATCCTTATTCGATTTGTCATCATTCATAGAATCTTCGACTGTATCGATCTCGAGATTCTTGTGTAGAATTCCATATCCCGGATCGTGAATCGTTGTTTCGTCGACCACCATCTTAATTTCTAGTGGCTCGAATTCGCCTCGATTGGACAACTCAGCGATACCCGGAAAGAGTTTATTCTCCCGGGATGTCGAATCACCTTCATCGGGTATCGAATCGACGATTTCCGTCGATTGCATTTCCAATTCCTTTGATGATTCTTGATCAGGAGAATCATGGCTGCCGAATTCATTGACCTCCGTCGTCGAACATTCGTCGACGGTAGAAATCTTCGCGTGTAAAGTATCGTCGATCGTTCTTTCTTCTTCATCCGGATTCCCCTCGATCTTACCCCAACGATCGACACTAAAGTCTCCGACACAGTCGAGTTCGGACAACAGACATTCGTCGATTTCCTTAATCTCATCTACCTCTTCAACTATTGTCTGTAATTCAGATCGAGAACCCGCGATTTCGAAGGTTCCGGAACTGAAAGAAGTAAAGTTGGGACGTTGTGATGATTCGATATTCGATAAGATGTCAGGATCGACCTCTCCGATCTCCGGTATGAATAATTCCAGCTCAGCAAGATCATTGTCCGACGGCTTGGCTGGCACGCTCAGTTCCTGCAATGTTTCAGACATCAGATCTTTGTCGTATGTCTAAAAATAGGACAAGCATTGAACAAACGACAAATGTTAACCTGTGCTTCGTCGTGAGTGATCGATGTGTCTTCTTCAGACACGAACTTCTCCTCGACTTCATAGTTAACATCAGCATCGACAACTTGCAGTTTCGCAACGTCTTTGCTTTCAGACAATAGTAAAGCCTTATTGTCGAAACCTTCATCGCACGAGCGAATATTCTCGACGATATTTTCCTCGGTTGATGTCTGATCGATTTCCAGAAGATCGTCACCTGCATTGTATCGATTTCTTACATCGACTGCCTCTACTGAACTCGGCTCTGTTTCGAGACTGTGTCCTTCAGCTTCTGTCGCGACTAAAGATACCGTTGTCGACGAATCGTTTGTCTGAACAAATCGCGGGCTGGAATCGTAAAGAGGTTCCCGATGATGAACATCGTTAACCGAACCCGTATTGACGACGACCGGTTCGTCATCGACAACATCTCTTCTTTCCTCGAGCATCGTCGTTGTCTCTCCGCTTTCGATTTCAGTGAAGACCCGTTCGCTCTCTTCAGAAAGCGACGACGAGCTCGAACTGCTCCTGTAATTCCGATCAAAAATTCCCAAATTCGGACAATATTCAGTCTCCGGAATCTCTATGTCGCTCGATCGAAAGTTAAGCTTGTCTTCTTCGAATTTGAGCTTCTTGTAATCCGAAGATCCGCTCTCGTTTCGAACCCGACGTTCGAATTCTTCATTCACCACCGGATTCTGCTCCTCGACTGAACTAATCGACTCCGTTTCCGGGACAGAACTTGTCTTCGACTCGCTAAGTCCACTCGATTGCCTCAAGAACCGAGAGCTGCTCGACTCTTCCGAAATTGTCTGTTCGGGGACAAAGTACGGCCTCATTCTAACATCCTCGTTTTCTTCTTTCCCAAAAACCGTAGACCTCATATTAAAGCTCTCGTGCCTACGAAACATCTCTATGGAACGAGGCACCGTAAACTCGTCCCGAAATCCATCTCCAGAAAGATTCGGCTTCTCTTCGCTCGAATCATAAGGGATATCGAAAGGATTCCGTCTAGGCAACAAGATGGAAGGAGCCGAGCCCGGGATCGGAGGCAACCCCGAATCGTCTCGAGATTCTTGAGCATGAGTGAACGGATTCTCCCGTCTCGTCGAAATCGGCGTAATCCCAAACGGAAAGTCCAAACTCTCTAAATCGATCAAGTCCCTCTCAGGTTGAACGTTCGCGCTCTTTCTCGACCGTCTCCTCAGTATTAGGCTCTCCAACCGTAGATTCCTCTCGATCTCCGAACTTCCGAGATTCATGAGATTCTTTTGATCCTCGTCGGTCCATGTAATCGCCGACGTCGTGATCTCGTGGTGCAAATCCTCATCCTCGAAGCAATTGTGTCTATCTGAACCGTGGGTACTAGCATTAGACTCAGACTCATCGTCTCGAGCAGGTCGAGGCGACTCTCGATCCAAAAGTGGATGGAGCTCGTCGAGCATCGGCATGATGTCTGTCATCGACGCGTCCGGGGAGGAGCTCTCGGCTCGGTCCGACCCCGAATCCCCGTCGTCGTCATCTTCATTTCTGTCGTCATGTCCTCCCTGAACCACTTGTTCTTCTAGATTCGCCGCCGCACATGTCCATGGAGATCGCGGAGGAGAATCCAAAGTATCGACGTTTACCTTCTCCGACCCGAACGAGCCACCCTCGTCGTCGTCGTCGTCGTCGTCCGACGAACTTCCCCCGTCGTCCGCCACCGGGATAGGGGCGTAGAGATTCTCGACAACCTCCCCATCACTATGCATCGTCGCCTTCTCCAACAACCCTCGATCGTCGCCGTCATCGTCCAACTCGATCTTCCGTAATCTCCTCGCCACTCCCTCGATCAATGGAACTTTATCATCGTCACAAGCAACGCCAAAAACATCGCTATCGCCATCGTCGTCCAACTCAACCTCCGGCAATTTTATCGCCGCTCCCTCGACTAATGCAACATTATCATCATCACGAACAACCCCGGAAACAAATTCACCATCGCCATTGCCACCAAACTCAATCTCCGGCGATCTCTTCGCCATTCTCTCGTCAAATGGAACATTACCATCATCACAAACATCGCCATTGTCATCCAATTCAACCTCCGGCGATTTCTTCACCACTCTCTCGACAAATGCAACATTACCATCATCACAAATATCGCCAGAAACACCATCGCCATTGCCATCCAATTCAACCTCCGGCGATCTCTTTGCCAATCCCTCCAATTCAACTTCCGGCAATCTTTTGGCCAATCCCTCGATCAATACAACATTATGATCATCATCACAAACAACATTGCCATCACCATTATTATCCAGCTCAACCTCCGGCGATCTCTTTGCCACTCGATCAATCAATGGAACAGTATCATCATTATCATCAAGAACAACCTCGCCCCCCGACAAATCCCGACAACCTTCCACCTCATCATGATCATCATCATCATCATCCCTCCTCTCCAATCCTAAAACCTCAACATGTCCAGAAACATCCCCTGTCTTAATCAAAACAGCTTCTTCTTCTTCTTCTTCCTCATCTGTCTCAATCTCAGGTATGTTGTTTGGTTGCCCCAAACTCAAAAGGGTTCCAAGAAGAAGAGCAGTGCAGACAAGAACAGGTGAAACAGACACCAACAACGAAAAAACAAAAGGGAATAACCTCTGCAGACACATCAAGAAACACAAAAATCCAACAAACAGTGGATTCTTACAAGCTGTTCTAAAACACCATCTGCTTGTCCACATCATAATTGCCCTAAATTTCACCCCAATCTCCATCAATTGAATATCCATTTCTTCTAATTCCCACAACTAATATTCAACAAATCAAGTATTAGATCAAACATGTGTTGTCTAAATTCACACACAAAATCACCAAAAAAAATACTAACCTTTAGATAATCAGACAGCACCAGAAAATTCAATAAGACAGAAGAAGATGAAGAAGACCTCCCGGAATGAAAATTGAGATGGAATTTTGAGATTAGAGGAGTTTTTTTAACTTTTAAGTATATATATCTGGTTGAAACATAAAAATTAATTAAGAACACAAAAAGGCATGATCTTGATTCCTTGATTCCTGCTTTACACACTCACTTTTCTTTTATTTCCTGAGCTACAGCTATTCATACAGTAGTAGTAAGTACTTGGTCTATCTGTACCAGAATTATTAAATATATATATATACACATAAAGAAAGTAGTGAGTGAATGTGGGGGAGACACAAAAGCAGAAAAGTAGAATTTGAAAAAGAAGAAGAGAAGCTTTTGTAGAGGCATTTAAGCAAACAGTTTGTGGGTGGGTTCTACTTAAGTTAATTCTGCTAATCAACAAAGTAATTTGCTGAGATGATGGATTAATGCTAACTCACCACACATGCCTGTGTTTTTTCTTTTTTTTGGTCTAATTTTGTATTTAAATAATATTTTTGTTATCAAATAAATGATATTTTTTGTATTTTAATATTGTCCGTCACATAAAATCGATACCATTTATTTTTTCACTTAAAATTTTGAATATTAGTATTATATTGATTTACAGTGAAAACGACAAAAATAATATAAAAGTAATGACATCTTATCAAACATTTTTTTTATATGCCGTAAAATTTATCAATTCAGAATGTTATCTATTTTTTTTTTAAATTTATATCTTTTATAAATTAGTTTTTGCTAATTATACATAAATAAAAATAATTTTTATTTATTTATATAAATTTTATTTTCTACACAATAATATTTATATTACATATATTTTATTGAGATACAAATTTTAAAATATTTAAATACTTATTATAAATTTCTTTTAATTATATATATTGGGTTTGTATGAAAAATTGTATTGATAATATAAAAAATAATATTTAGATTGAAGAATTGACTTTTGTGAGTGAATAAAATGTATATATTATATATAATGGGTTAATATGTGTATATTATATTTTTATATAATATTTATGGAGATTGTGCTTTTTTTTTTTTTTTTTTTTTCTCAGTGAAAGTACTTTTTATTTTAATAAAAAATAACTTTGCACTTTACACAATATTACAAATAATGTTATTAAAAGTAAATGATTTAGAAGGCAACATTTTTTTTTTTTTCTTTCCATTGTACTACCTATAAAATAATAATATACTAATATTATGTACAAAAAATAAATAGATAAATATAACTCGGATTTGAAAAAATATCATAATTAACTAATTAAATATTATAACTTCAAATATTGTGTTAGCAGTGATCTCCTACAAGCACACTCGCACAGTTCATTTTGATCATTACCATCGTCAATACCGCTCTGATACACATGTACGTTTAGAGATTCAGATCAGTTGTCTTTGGTATATAACAAGTCTAAGTATCGTATGCGATATGAAAATATATGCGGAACACTTACCTGCACTGAGACATAGAAATTTTTTGTTTTTTATACATGGGTAAGAAACTTGTGAGATATATATATATATAAATGTTAAAATAATTAAAATATTGTTATTTTATTATTATTTTTTTTTCTTTTTTAAGAAAATAGTTATTCGAATGTATTTGAATTTTTAGTATACCAATATAAACAAATTTGAAAGTTCTTTTAATAAATTTCAATTTAATCAAATTTAAAAATTCAAATTAAGAGTGAAATGATTTGCATTTGGTGGTTGGAAGCACAAAACAGGACAGGACCACAGACATCTTTACGGGATTACTCAATAATTAATTAATTAATAAATAATACTTAACTAATACTCCCTCCGTCGCAGATATCATGTCCACATTTTCGTTTCTGTCCGTCTCATATACAATGTCACTTTTTTTTGTGGAAAATAATTACACATTTTAATCTCATTTTAAATTTTTTTTAAAATTTTAATTAAATTAATTATTTATATTATAGGATAATTATTTTCATTAATACATTCTTAATTATCTAATAATTACATCCCTCCTAAAATACCGTGTCGGAGGGAGTAATAATAATAATAATAAGCACTTGCATTCTCAAGCTTAGATTATTTTTATTTTATTTGATCATACTTCCTCACCGGTCGAGTGTGTTTACTTGTAAAATTTAATTTTTGAGTTTTAATTTTGAATAATAAAATTTTACATTTGAATAATTATTTGATATAATATAAATATGTACTAATGTGGTGTTTAAAATTAAAATTTAAATTTTAGTGTAATATAATAAATAAAAAATAGTTATTTGATTTGATATTTTTAGAACAAAAACAATTAGAATAGTAGAACCGAAAATCAAATCGCGCAAGTAAACATAGACTCAGTCCCACTTAATTTGTCTATTATTTCTATTTTCGTCGTTTTCACATAATTTGTCATTTTTTCTTTTTTAAAAATATAATTATAATTTATAAAGTTTAATCATATTTTAAAGTTATAATTTATATTTTTTTTTATTTTAATTAAACTATTTGATCATTTTAATCATAATTTATAATTATTTTTATTAAATTATAATTATTTTTACTATTATATTTTTTTTATTATTTACTAATTACACAAGGCCTAAAACTCCGTACCTAAGCTAAAATGGACAAATTAATTGAAACGGAGAGTAATTTTTTATTGATCGTGTATACAAAATATTAGTTATTATTATTTTTTTTATAAAAGAATATTTTAATTTTAATTTAAAATAATGATATTTATATAATACTATTCATAATTTTTTTATGTCAAAAAATAGAGTAAATTTTTTAGTAAATTACTTTTATATTTTATATTTATTTTTATTATAAAATATATAAAGTAACAAAATATATAAATTACATTAAAATTCGTATTAAAAATAATGAGTCTACTTTTTTTTTTTTTTTTAATAACAATTGACTAATAATAATAAATTTTATAGTTATAATTATATAATAATAGTAAAATTGATTGAGACTAATCCTATATATATATATATATATATAGCACAAGGTGTGAAGATTTTTGAAATCTCAAATTTTTGAAATTTTTTTTTTTGGATTTTTTTAATTAATATATTTTTTATAATTTTAAAAATTATTTTAAATATGTTAGAGGATATGCAGTTTAATTCTATTTTTCATTTGAATTTTTTCTTTAATTATATATATTGTTTTTTTCATTCATTTTTTTTTATTCATTTTAATATCATTGTTATTAATTTTTATGTAAAAGTATAAAATTCTTAAAATTCACTATTATTGTTGTTGAAGAAGATTACTTTTTGAACACACAATATTATTGTTTGAATAGTTGTTGTTAGGAGAAAGACTGCAATATGGACATTGAAAGTTGTTCATGGAGCGCTCAGCTGTAAAGATAATCTAAATTATCAAATATAATGAGTATTTTTTTATGAATTATTTGTATGTTATCTATAGAGAACTTTTAAATAGTTTTTAGTATTAGTCAGGAACATAATACATATATATCAATTAAAATATTTTGAATTATTTTATTTATATATATTTACATATTTATTTTAAATTTGTTTAAAAGTATAAATTTGATATTGTTAATGAAATAAATTATTTTTTATAAAGAAATATATTAATTTTTTCATTTGTATTTATAATTTTATATAAAAATTTTCGGTTATATATATATCATGTATAATATATTTAATTATATATTTGGATAATTTTAAATAGTTTTAGTCGATCTTTAAATTTTTAAATGATTATTTTTAAATGCTAATTAGGTAGGACGATTTTATTTTACATAATTTTTCTAAACAAAAATATTTTTACATATAATTTAAAATTTTTATTTATTTTAAATTTAAAAATAGCTAATTATGATTGACATTTTTAGTTATAAATTTTTGTAGTTATAAATATTGATAGTTTGATATTATAATTTTATATATCTATTGTATATTAGTTTATTAAGTTATTACTATATATAAAGTGATTTTATGCAAAATATTTATTTATTTATTAAAAACAATATTTGATAGGTTATGTAGATTATACTATTCGATAAAATAATCTAAATTTTGTATGAAGTTAAATATAAATTAAAAAATTACATTTTCTTATATAAGTTGTTTTTTATGTTAGATAAAAATCATAGTTGTCTACAATAAAATTTGAAAAATAAACATTTTAATTTTATTTTATAAAATAGTTTTTAATTTTACTTTCTATTGAGTATATGTAATTTATGTATTTTAACACATTTTTTTTTTTAGTTAATATGATTAATCATTATTTTTTTTTTGCAATTTTTTTACACAGTTACTAATAATAAATTTATAATTAAAAAATCATTTATTTTTATTTTTAACATTTATTGTAATAATTTGTATTTTCTTTTAATGAGTAAAGATATAAGTAGATACACATAAAAAAAAAACAAAAAATAATTCATAAAATAAATAGAACTATTAAAATAGTAAAATATGAATTTGTAATTATTGTACATTTTTTTAAAAAAATAAAATAAAATAGATTTATATATAGATATTTTGATTTATTTTAAATAATTATAGAATGAAATAAATAATAATCTAATAATTAAATTTAATATAATAATTCGTGCATACGAGTTTAAACGTTAGTATAAATAGTAAAATCAAATAGTAATAAATATTTCTTCCATCTCATCGGAATTGAATCATTTGATTAGAGACATATAATGTAAAAATATTTAATTATTTAATAATAATGAGTTGTGATATTATTTTATTATTATTTTTATATAATTAATAATATTTAAAATTTTAAAGTAAATTTAATATATATGGTTAAAAAAATTAAAAAATATATATTTAAATATTTAAAAATTAAATAGCAATAAAAATATGTGCAGTATGAATATTATTTTGTGTAGAAAATAAACATTTCTATAATACAAGTAAATAAAAAAAATTCTTATTTAGTTATAATTAACATAAATTGATTTTATAAAAGATTTGTAGTTTTAAATATATATATATATATATAAATATATTTTTTTGAGGCGAGTGAAAAAATAAAAGAGTTTTGAGTGAGTTATACGTCATTAATGATGTTATATATTACGTAGTTAATTAAATTAATTTATATTTATTAAATATATTTTGATTTAATAATTTTTATCCAAAATAAAAATGTATCAATTATTATAAAAAAAAAAATGAAAATAGCATCGATTGTAGTGGGACGAAACGACTATAAGACTGGGAATATAAATATATGGTAAGTTTATT